GAGAAACTGTATGAAAAATTCTCTAAGTGCGAATTCTGGATCAGAAAGGTAACTTTCCTCGGTCACGTGGTTAGTAAAGAAGTCATACACGTGGACCCTTCCAAAATCAAGGCGGTTGAGAATTGGTCAGCACCGAAGACGCCCACAAAATCCGTCAATTCTTGGGTCTTGCTGGCTACTATCGCAGGTTTATCCAGAATTTCTCCAGGATTGCTAAGCCTCTAACTACCCTGACTCAGAAAGTTGTAACCTTTAGTTGGGGAGAAAGTCAAGACACTGCGTTCGAAACATTGAAGCAGGCCTTGTGCAGCGCACCTATCTTGTCTCTTCCAGAAGGGACAGAGGACTTCGTTGTCTACTATGATGCATCCAATCAGGGTCTAGCCTGTGTGCTCATGCAGCAGGGAAAGGTCATTGCATATGCCTCGAGACAGCTGAAAGCACACGAAGTTAATTATACAACTCACGATCTGGAGTTGGGAGCAGTGGTCTTCACAGTAAAGATTTGGAGACATTATCTCTATGGAACCAAGTGCACTGCCTTCACCGATCATAAGAGCCTACAGCCCATTTTCGATCAGAAAGAGTTGAACATGAGGCAACGATGGTAGGTAGAGCTACTCAACGATTATGAGTGCGAAATACGCTGTCATCCCAACAAGGCCAATGTGGTAGTGGATGCCCTCAACCAGAAAGAGTATTCAGGTCGTAGAGTGAAGGCACTAACAATGACCATCCATTCCTATCTTTCCGCTCAAATCCGAGAGGCTCAGCTGGAAGCCTTAAAACCAGAGAACGTGGTGGAAGAAGTTTTGAGGGGAATCGAAAAGAACCTAGAGATCAAGGGAGACAGAGTTTATTATTTCATAAACCGGATCTAGACCCCAAAGTTCGGCGGTTACAGGGAGGTTGTCATGAACGAAGCTCATCGGACTAGATACTCCGTTCACCGAGGTTCGAATAAGATGTATCTGGATCTCAAAAAGCTTTATTGGTGGCCAAACATGAAAGCAGAAATTGCTACCTTCGTGGGCAAGTGCCTGACTTGCGCCAAGGTGAAGGTGGAATATCAAAAGCCCTCAGGTCTACTTCAGCAGCCAGAAATTCCTGAGTGGAAGTGGGAGCGAATCACAATGGATTTCATCACTAAGTTGCCCAAGTCTCCGAGTGGGTACGATACCATCTGGGTAATTGTCGACAGATTGACTAAATCCGCCCACTTCCTGCCAATCAAAGAAACGTTCAAGATGGAGAGACTAACGCGAATCTACATCCAAGAGATAGTTTGTCTGCATGGTGTGCCTGTGTCCATTATCTCCGATCGGGATAGCAGATTCACCTAAAGATTTTGGCAGTCACTGTAGAAGGCTCTTGGAACTAAGCTGGATATGAGCACAACTTACCATCCACATACAGACGGGAAAAGTGAGAGAACCATTCAAACCCTAGAAGATATGCTGAGAGCGTGCGTTATTAACTTTGGTAAGTCGTGGGATACCCATTTTCCCTTGGTCGAGTTCTCCTACAAAAATAGCTATCACAATAGCATCAAGGCTGCGCCGTTTGAAGCCCTCTATGGCCATAAGTGCAGACCCCCTTTGTGCTGGGCTGAGGTGGGTGACACGCAGCTGGCTAGAGGTCAAGTCCCTGATAGCTCTCTCACTAGCCCAGAAATCATCCGTGAAACCACAGAAAAGATCGTACAAATCCGAGAACAATTAAAAGCTTCAAGAGATAGACAAAAGTGCTACGCCGATAAGAGACGAAAACCTTTGGAATTCCAGGTTGGTGAGCGTGTTCTATTGAAGGTCTCACCCTGGAAAGGCATCATACGCTTCAGAAAGCGTGGAAAGCTAAATCCGAGATACATTGGACCATTTGAGATCCTCGCTAGGATCGGTCCCGTAGCATACAAACTTCGTTTACCCCAAAAACTTAGCAACATTCATCCTGTCTTCCACATGTCGAACATTAAAAAGTGTCTATCCGACAAAACCCTTGTGATCCCTCTTGATGAGATTGAGATCAATGAAAACCTTAATTTTGTGGAAGAACCAGTCAAAATCATGGATCAAGAAGTCAAACGAACGAAACAAAGTCGCATACCGATAGTGAAGGTCCGCTGGAATGCCAAGCGAGGACCTGAATTCACTTGGGAGCGCAAAGATCATATGAAACAGAAGTACCCACATCTTTTTCCGAGTCCATGATTGTATTCAACGTTTGAATTTTAGGATGAAATTCCCTCTATCGGGGGGATGATGTGATAACCCGAACTTTTTTCAGTTAACGTTAGCCGATTCCGTTAAATAAATTTTGAGTATTTGTTTAGTTCCGTCAAATTCCTATGGTTTGGAAAATCATTTAAGTTATATAATTGAATTTTCTTTTATGAGTCGGAACCAAAATCGCGCGAAAACCCGAGTTACTTCGAAAATCATCGAAAATCGGCCTGACTGGTGTTCACGACCGTGAACCGGATCACGACCGTAAACCCGTTCACGGCTGATGGACCCCACCACCGACCATGAAACCCCCTATAAATATGTGCTCCTACCCCTCATTTATACTTTTCTGGCTGTGAACACCATTTCTCTCTCTAAAAATTATCACCCGAAAACACAAGATTTCTCTTCAACTATCACTTTATCCGCCTTGGAACTCGTTTTGGAGAATCAAAACATCCGTTTTCATCAAATCAAGCATTGTTGTTCTTGAGTTCATGGTCGTAAACCCTTCAAATCTTCATATTTCCTCAAGAACAGGCTGTGAACCCTTCAAACCTTCAAATGCCGTAAACCCTTCAAAGACAGTAAACTGTTCACCGCCGAGAACAGTTCACGGCCGAGAATAGTTCACGGCTGGAAACCCTTCACGGCCGCAAACCTTCCAAAGTCGTGAACTTGGCTGAAAACCCGCTTTTTCCGATTCAATCGATTCCCGGTAACATTCCTTAACGAAAAACAAGTGTTTACCAACACTATACTTAATGGTTTCACTAATAATACGCATATATGTATTTAATTATTATTAGGATCCCATTAAGTGTCGCGTATATCAACTCGAGGGTCTTCGCTTCCAGTCTCGTTGTCCGGCACATTCACGCAACCAACTGTGAGTTCATACCCCTACGCTTTTAATTATTTTCTCGTTTTTAGGGGGAGAACAAGTCAAATACAAATGGTTGTTCGTGAACTTTATGCACAAAATTTCAAACAGGATTAAAAACTTATGCAATTGACACAATCAAAAGATTATCACCTTTTTACAAAATGTTTAGATATCTTATCGCTTTTGTACCATGCTGAGCATAAGGGAAGTTTTCAACTCACAACTACAATTGCATAGTTTTCAGAACAATACATGAACCGGGTACTTTACACACATGCAAACTATAATAGGTATAGTTTGGGATTTCAATACACAGTTTTACAATTTTAGAGTTTATACATTAACAAACATATAAACTATGACAGACGTAGTTTATGATATACATTACTATCTTTCGGATAATAAGAGTAGATTTAAAAATAATTATTATGTTTAATTATTTTTACTCTACAAGACATACATTCATATTCAAGTACGAGAGAACAATACTAAACAACACGTAAACTAGTAATACAAGATTGTGAGACTCTACTTCAAATTGTACCCCTTCAGGGTACTGAACTAAATCCTAACATAGTATAACCAGAGTCTCCTGGAGGGAGAGCTTGAAATTTGTGAATAGATCTATTCGGGACTGACAATCTCACACCTGAACTGCTAGCTACAGTTAGGCAGGCATGCCTGAGGTGACAAATGTCATAATATCCGACACTTGAAGAACGTCGTAAAGGTCACTAGGCATGGTTATACGACTCATAATAGTATAAACTAACCTTTGTTTACGGGATTTCATTCTTCATTAGTTTTATTTTAATTAATAGAACTAATATACATTATACTGGAGGATTCCAGGGGATAAAATACATGGTTTTATTTAAAGTAATGAAACTACTTTACATACTGGGGAAACTAGGGTTTTCCAACAAAACATTCTATTCATACTGGTGATAGCCAGGGTTTTCATACAAAAAGGGTTTTACTTTCAAAACAGTATTATACAATCCATCTAGTGGTAAACATGCATTCGAACGAATACTTTATGGAACACTGTAACAAACTTGTATGTTAGAAAATATTGGATTTTCTTGGAAACATGCAAACATTTTCACTGATTCATTAACATGTTTTCGTTACAAAAACATGCTTATGAACTCACCATCTTTAATGCTGATACTCTTTCCAAAACCGCTTGTATTCTCAGGAAATCAGTAGACAGGTACTCCCGCAGCTTTTGAGAAGACGAAGTGTATAGAGAGTCACGTCTTTTATATTTTGCTATACTTTTGATGTATACAAATATGTATCAAACGAATGTAAATATTTTTCTTATCTAATATAATGGTTGTGTTTACTTTAATTACTATGATGCAATTGTTGTGATACTATACATGACGTCCGCCACCCCCCGAACGTTTCCGCCGTTTCGGTTTGGGGGTGTGACGATATACACTTATTATATCATAATATTCTATGAAATTTAATCCAAAAATCCTATATCATCTAAGTAAAATGTAGATATTTATTCAAATTATAATATTTATAAAAAATTAAACTTCAATGTTGCAAAATCCTATATCAGCTAAGTAAAACAACAAAAATCAAGTAATATAGGATTTATGATATCATAATATCTAGAATGTGTAATATGAACCATAAACATTTCATATCACAATACTTTCATATCAGACAATGTACTTTTCTTTTTACACATCATAGAAACATACTTTCACATCAAAATACCTAGAATTTCAGTTATGATCGATAAGCAATTCATGTCAAACATACGCTATGAAAATTATTGTTAGAAACATTCTAATATTTCTATTATTCCATAATATTTGAATTATAAAGTATAAAATCATAGGCGTTTTATATTTCACAAAAAAAGTTTAGATTATTTTACCCGTTGACTCTTTTTCTGTATCTAATTCTGTCTCTGATTCTGTTGAAGAATCAGAAACATGATTTTTCTTTTTGTGCTTCACATCATTATGGATTAATTTGCTGTGACGCTTGAAATGTTTTTTGACTTTTCTTTTTTTCTTCTTCTTTACTTTATCTGCATTAATAATTATTCTATTAGAAGCATATAATATACTTTTAGTGAATGTCAACATATATATATATATATATATATATATATATATATATATATATATATATATATATATATATATATATATATATATATATATATATATATATATATATATATAAATAATTATTCTATAAGATTTTCATTCTTATAATCTTACCAGATTCATCACTCTCTGTTGTGGATGTCTCTGACTCTGATGTCTCTGACTATGAAGATGAAGAATATGAAACATAGTGTTTTTTTTTTTGTAGCTTTAGCTGTATGAAGAAATTTAAAAATTGAAAAAAATTAGAATATTTATTAAAATCGATTAGAATGTTCATAATAATTAACTGAAAAAAATAAATCCAAAAAACTTTCTTTTGTGAGGTATTTTAAAGAACAATTGTTGATACCTTTTTTAATTCTTTTTTATGTCGTGAGGATGAATCAGAAGAAGAATCAGAGTCGCTTTCAGAAATAACAACGTTTTTTTTTAATTTTTCTTTGATTTTCCTTCATCTGCCTTCTTTTTCTTTTGATTTACAATTTGCAAATCTTTATCATGAAATTTAACAATTAAAATCAATTAGAATATATGATAAACAAAATTAAAATATTTACTTAAAAAAAATAAATCCAAACATTTGATTTTTTATGAATTATTTTAAGGAAAGGGTGTTCATACCTTTTTTTAACCCTATCTTGATCCCCTGAATCTGTATGAAGAAAATTATCAAATAATAACAATTAGAATATTTATTAAAAGTATTTAGAAGTTACTAAAAGAAATTATAACATTTAATCTAAAAGTAATTACAATTTATACATTTATCTTTAGAAATGAATGTTGAAATGTTCTTTGTTGGTGGAGTTGTTACTGTTTTTCTTACAGTTGCTTTTGTTTGTACTTTTTTAGTTGCATCAATAACAACAAATTCCATTAAAATTCATATTAGTTGAGGATATATAATCTAGTCACAATTCTATATATACATAACAACAAATTTCTAATATCAGTCAACATAAAATTCACTAGAATACAAAGATTTTTTTAACTAAACACTATACTACAATCATAACAACAGATTGATGTTACCAAAATCTATAGTATTAGACAATTTATGGATCTAAATCTAATTAAATGATGAACAATTAGTTAGAATATCATAACATTTTTGTTGATTTTGATTTAGAATATTTAGACCAAATGAAATGAGGAATAATTAGAACACTTTTGAGTAACATGTAGAGTTAACATTTAGATATAGATCTCTTAATGATTTCATAGACTCTATATAAATCACATACTGAGATGTAGGTTTAGATTGTATGTTTTATAATGCTATATTCCATTACATCCTGACTTCGACATATAAATCGCTAGTGAAATATCTCGATTATAAAATATTTGTTGAAGATACACAACGATTTAAAGTAAAAAAAACAAAAAAACTTTTTATAATAAGAACACTAATGTTTACTGAATAAGAACAAGAGGTTTAGAGTATTATACTTACTTGGAACAACTGTTGATATAAAATCAGAATCATAATTTGTAGAATGAGCCATTTGATTTGATATCAAAATCAAAATTAAAAGGTTTTTAGTGTTCTAGTTGATTATCGAGGGTTTTCGTGTATGAATCGGAAGATGAATTTCAGGTAGAATGAGAATAAGAAGCTCGAATCAGAAGATCAACTTAGATTTATGATTAATCTGAAACAAATTTGTGAATGAAGTAGAAGATGTCGATGATCGAAATTATGGGTTTTAGTGTTCATATCTAGGGTTTTTAGGAAGAATACCGGGTGCTTTTTGTGAGCTGAATGAAAACGAAATGTAAAATTTCATTTCTGCCCCTCCGTGTCTTATTCTAATCCCAAAGTTCCATTTATTTACAAAAATGTCACCGCCTACTTTATATATATATATATATATATATATATATATATATATATATATATATATATATATATATATATATATATATATATTCTTATGTTGATATAATATCTTCCTTTTTAATGAAAATAAAACAAAATTAATCATTAAATTATAATTATTAAAGGCCGAAGGAGGATTAGGAGGATCGTACCTTCACATTAACTTTGAAACTCCTCGAATATGACAATGCACATGATATACGAGATGAGAGGCCAATAGGAGCAAAGCATCTTCTACCTCACATTTATTTTAAATTTGGGGTTTCATAGATTATCAACCTCAAAAGCAAAGGAAACAACATTTATGGCCATAGATGTATCATATTTGGGCACTTAGGAATGTAGAGATGTCGGAGAGAGGTGAGGTGTTGAATTCCCATTGGAATTAATTTCCGGTTTCTCAAATTCAATTATGCAAAGCCATCACGTCTCCATAACCTCGTTGTCATAATACGTATTCTTTCCCCACTCGTAACGTCCTCTTTCTCTTCTAAACTCACCAATTTATCATAGTATTCTTCATACAACTTCCTTAAATTCACAAGAACCTTACTTGGTGATCTGGATTCCCACCAGGATCTTATTTCATCACATGATATGATTCGTAATTCTTCAACTGCCCCAAGATACTGTATAACACCTCCCCACACCTGATCATTAAGTCCTGAAATATAACCTATATCAACCTTGGTGACCGATGAAGATACACGAACTAAACTTGTCAATACACCATGATAACATCTATTAATTTTTAAAACCCTCAATGAAGGTAGTGGCTCAAGTAAGACTTTAACCAAATTAGGACAATTATTTAGCGAAAGCTCTTGAAGGCATGGAAATGTTGTATTGACAACCCCATTATTATTAGTTGACCATACCTCCCACCTCCGCATATCTTCAAAGCATAGAGTTTCAAGTGATGGGAATGCAAGATCAGTAGTACCAAGAAACTCCAAACCTGCATCTTTCACATCATCCATGCCTTTAATAAATAACGTCTTCAATGATGGTAGTTCCCCAAGTAGTGGTAGAGATGCACACTTTTTACAACCATGTATCGACACATGAGCCAAACGATGAAAGGAGGGATCCCCAACCCAATTTGGAAACTTTCTACCCCCATATGATACAATTTCAAGCTTTTTCAAATGATCATTACTAGGCTTCAGCACATTGAGGACCTCTATCTCAAATGTTTCCTTTCGAGAACCATCAAATACATCACCCCATTCCACCTTTAACTCATGTAGCCTCTTTTGGGATATGTTAGCTTCTTCTGCTTGTATTCGACATTGCACTTTTTCTAGCCCCTTAATGGAAATTTTCCCTTGGAGATCCTTTAGATCCTTAAGATCGGCTATTGAAAAGGCATTTTCTCCTTCAATAATGATTTTAGAGAGAGTTCGTAGGCTTTTCAACTCTCGAATACCCAAGGGCATCTTCTTCAGAAGCGGAGTATCACTATTGCCAAAATGTCGTAATTTTTTAAGCTTTGAGAAATTGTTAGGCAACTTGTTTAAATAACGACAACCAAAAACAAGTAAAGTCTGTAAATTTGAGAGGTTGCCAACATTATCCGGTAAATATGTGATATCAGTTCGAGATAAATTAAGATACCGCAAATGCTTCAAAGTACCAATGGATTCAGGTACCTTGATTATCCAAAGCTGACTCAAACTTAGGACCCTTAATAATGGTAACTCATGAAGTAAGTCAACCAGCACCTTATTTGATATGTAGAATATTGGCCAACTTTTGACGTCCTTGATAGGGAATGCTAAGAATGTTCTCAGACTTTTAGCTCCTTCGAATGCCTTAAACGCTTTGTCATCCATAGAAGGTTCACAAACAAATGACATATGGGGGTACTTTTCCAAAGCTTCGTCCTTTTTATGATCCTTTTTCATCTCGATGTCTAACATTGAAAAAAACTCTCCAGCAACAAATGTTGCCAAGTCATGCATGAGATCATGCATCACAAACAACAATTTGTTATTAGGGGATTGTTGAAAAAATGACCTTGATGACAACTCTTCAAAATATTCAAGACCCAAGCGTTCCATTGACTTTCTTGTAGTTGATTGGTGCAAAAACCCTTCTGCGGTCCAGAGCAAAATCAACTCCTCCTTGTCAAACAAATAGTCTTTGGGGAACAAGGAGCAATATGCAAACAATAGCTTCAAAGGTGCGGAAAGTTCATGGTAGCTTAGTCTAAGAGCCGGAACAATCTCATCTCTCTTTCCTAACCTCCATATGTCACTATTTAACACTTCCTCCCATTCTTCCTCGTCTGATTTTGTCCTCAATAACCTCCCAAGTGCTACCAATGCCAACGGCAAGCCATCACATTTTTCAACGATACCTTCACCATGTGGTTTAAGTGTTGGATGTGAATCAAAGTTAGTTTCACCCAATACATGTTCACAGAATAAAGATAAAGCATTTTCATGTGACAAAACCGACAGGCGGTAAGGTTGATTGTAACCTAGTTGGGTTAGCAACGACAACTTCCTAGTCGTCATAATAATTTTACTTCGAGGTGCCCCAGCAAGAAATGGGTGTTCTAGAATTTCCCAATCGGTATAACTTTCACTCCACACATCATCAAGAACGATCAGAAATCGTTTTTGTGAGATCTTATTTTTTAAAGCTACTTGAAGCAGATTTAAATCACTAAATTCTTGGTTCCCCCCACCTACCGATTGGAAGATAGTTTTGCTTATATTGAAGATATCAAACTCATCAGAAACACACACCCACGCCATGAGTTCAAAGTGATCCTTCCTTTGCATTTCATCGTATAAAAGTCTAGCTAGAGTGGTCTTACCTAACCCACCCATACCAACTATGGGCACGATGCTATAACTTTTACCGGATGGTTCGTAATCGTCCCCCAATAGCTTGTGAAGCAATGCATCCTTATCACCTTCACGTCCAACAATTCTAGATGCATCTACCAAAGATGTCTGTAATTTTCTATTTTTATGTCTTGGGCTCTCGCCTTTCACACGTAAACCAAGATTATTTTTCTCCTCTACAATTTCCCGTAACTTGGTTGTAATATTATCTAACTTCCCATGCATCCTAGTACATAGTAAGAAATTTGTACAACTTGTTGGGATTAGCTTTCGTACCTTGCTGGTGTTGAACTCACGATGCATAGCTTTTGTTTCCAAATCGTCGAGTAGATCGTCTATGTCGTAAGCCAAATGTTGGAGACCATTCAGCCAATCTTTAACAGCTTCATCGGTAACTTCCTTCTCAGAAGCATCATTAAGAAGAGCTTTGATCTGGATTAGTGACCTCTTCAATTTCTTGAGCTGGGAATCGATTCCCTTGGTGTGAGCAAGCTTCTGCAGGGTTTCTGAAGCCAGCTTTTCAAAGAACACCGTGAAGAAGGCAGAAAGAACGAGTTCAGCCATATTGCTTAGAGTACCTAAGAGTAGATCGGAATATAGTAGAGAGATGGGATGAAGTGGATGAACAGAAAGAATGATCTTAATCTTAATTGCTGTTTATAGTGGAGATTGGATATGTGTCACGGAAAGAATGATTTCAGATGATCTCTTTTTATAGAAAATTCAACTAAATGAAGGGCACGTAAGGGATGGCTTAGTTCTTAAACTTTCGAAAGTTGGGTTTGTTTTTTTTATTAAGAAAAATTACTGACGTTTCCATTTAAAAAAGCAATATATTTGGCATTATTTTATTAAGAAGACCGAATGAAAATCCACAAAACAGAAACCAAGGGTAGTCGAAATAGCCGGTGTGGACGTTGGTGTGACGGCAAGTCGGCAACTAACCTGGTTAATTCATTTTTACCTGTAGATGTAGAAACAAGGGGTAAAAAACATTCATTTTCAAAATTATGTATTAGTAAGTAAAATATATAATGCAATTGTATTTTTATAATATTACTTTAAAAATGTAAAATCACCAGAAATAAATCTATATAAATATTATAATTGGCACATTCATTCAAACAAGAAGCATTTTAAATTGTGGCATCATGTGAAGAATTGTAAACTGTGATTTTGAACAAAAAAAACATAATGTTAAATTGTCTTAGTTTGGTGATAACAAGAAAATCAGCAAATGATAGCAATGGAGAGGATAATTAATGACGAGAGGTAAAATACTAAAGTTTTCACATGACATGATATCATTTTCAAAGGTCGAGTAGAAAAATAAAATAATGAGAATTTAAGAAAAAGAAGATGTTAAATTATTAAATCATATTCCTAATGAACAATGAGTACATGGCTTCTCGGAAACATATATGATCGGAGTGAGGCTTGGGTCTTGCTGGTAGTACGTGCAATAACCGGTTAGTCGTATCTCAGGTTGAGACCCGAAATTACACTATGATGAGAAAGTTAGTATATCGTGTAAGAGGACGAATGAAAACCAAAGTATATAATATTAGGGTTTGTATGTACTGACCTTTGTGGCATAGCCATAGGCTATTTTAAGGCATAGATTGATAAGTACATTGTATATAGGGGTGCAAATGAGTCAAACTACTCATGAGCTATTCGGGATCGGCTCGTTAAAACTCCACTCAAAACTGATTTTAAACGAGTCCGAGTTAAGCTCGAGCTTAATAACTAAGCTCGGTTAGGTTTGCGAGCCTATATAACTAAGCTCGATTAGGCACGCGAGCCTAAATGAGCCTCTATATGTAACACCCCAAAAATAATAGTAAAAATTTTCATTTTTAAACCATCAAATTGTACAACCAATTATTCCATAACCAAACACAGTAAAATGTATTCGTCAAACATCAGAGTAAGTCTAAAATAGTTAATGCGTAAAATACTATCAGGGGATGTTGTGCAATCAAGTCGGGCCCTTCTCTTTGGAACTGAAAGTACCTGAAAATGTTTAAACTACGAAACCGTAAGGACAAAGCTTTGCGAGTTTCCCAAAATACCACATACCTTACATTGGATAGGGAATGCTATCAACCATAGTCTTGAAGGGTTTTCTAGGTTATAAAAAATACATGTAAGAGGAAAAACACTTAAACCCTTACGTTCACATGCAACCTAGAAAAGATTTATGTTTTTTCTAATTGATAGCAATAAACTATAAACATCAAGAACCCTAAGGGAAACCTATTATAATCGAAATATACATAGGATTAGGATTACATGCCTTTGATTTGTTATAGTAAACAAATCACTTCAATCCCTTGTGTTTGTTGGCCTTAGAAAGCAAACACCAAAATGATGATGTCTCTAATAGCTCACACCCGAAACCAGAAACCCTAGAATGAGAAAGAGAGAGGAGATATGAGGGAAATTTCATTCCTATACCTTTAGGTAATATGGTGAATGAAAATTGTAAGCCAATGGGTCCTATGTATAGTTCAGGTAACTTGCAGGCAAAACAAGATTTGAATTGATTAAATAATAAATTTAATCCTAATTCAAATCCTTTCCTTTTATGCAACCATGAGGCTTCCAGAAACCCTAGGAAACCCACCAAAACCGTCCATCCCATGGATGGTTTAGGAATTGCTTCTTTTGTTCAATTATTGAACAATTACAATTCACCCCTTGCACATTCAGTTAATTTCAATTAATCCTGAATTAATTCCAGATTAATTCTGATTAATAATTAATCAATTCTGATAGATTTCACATTAATTTATTAATCATTTAGATTAATGTAGCGCCCACAGATTCGGGGCTAGTCAAGTTAGAGATAATAGGTGTTAAAAATGACTTTTGATAGAAGATTATTTATGACTAATAATCTTAACAAAAGGTGTAAAGTATGTGACAAGGATTTCATACATATAAAGAACGCTAAAATTCAACTTTGTATGAAGAAGTTATGCTTATTTGAAGTTTTGCGATTAAACCGGCACGACTCTTCGTATCATAAAAAGTGAATTTTTGATAATGTGCTTTTTAGCCAAAGAGGTCTAAACGAAATTCAAAGTAGTCGATAAACCGAGAGCGTACATATAGAGAACGTCCAAATCTGACTTCGTAAGAGGAAGTTATGATTTTTCGAAGTTTCAGCACAATAGTATACGACTCAGAACCTGAAATAGAGATCGGTTTATTTTTAGGAAAATAATCTAAATGAGAGTTGAAGATCTTGTCCATATGGTTTCGTCGATATAACGGAGTCGAGAACGGATATTATATGAGAAAGTTATGAATTTTTAACGGAATTTAACAATCTAAGAGGTCGTTTGATAATTGCTGGCTGAGTTAGAGCTGACTGGGTTAGAAGCTGACTGAGTTAGAAATTCTGACTAAGTCCATGTTTGACTGAGTTTATGTTGTTTGATTATTTCTCTGACTAGCTATGTTGAATGAGGAAAATGACCATTTTACCCCTTTTTTATGTCAGCTAAAATATATTTGTTTGCATACGAATTTATTTTCGACGAACATTATTAAATTAATAGTTTAATACAAAACTAAGTTTTATTTTTTTAAAAATTAAAAGTTTTGAATAATGAATACAAAACTAAGTTTTATTTATTTTAAAAACAATAATAACCAAATATAAATGGACATGTCATTATGTCAAGAACCATGAGTCGGTGGACACCCATCAACCTCAAATAATAAATTATTACACCCTTTATCCTCCCATCTATTTCCATTTCATTCAAAATTGCAGAGAGAAAATGGGATCTGACCCAATCTCCATATAAAAGTTACAGCTCTTTTTCAAGGCAGTTCCACGCCTCCTGAATCATCGACCATGATAACACCATCGCTCCAAATCTCAGCTTTTGTTTCCTTCCGGTGGGAAGAACAACCAGGTAACCACCGTGAACAAATGTGTGGAGCTTCCTCCAAGAATGACAATGGTGGAATCCAACATTATTACCAAAATACCCCACCCTCTTCTTATCCTTGTTCTGTTCGACCGATCATAGTTTTCAATCCTCTTAGACTCAATCAGTAGGTAAAAGGGTGCTTCCCTCTCCTTCTCTCTCACGAAGATGCATTATGACTGGTTTGTGGTGCCGAAATGTATATGACTGGTTTTGTGGTGCCGGAATGTTGAGGATCTGTAATGCAAAGGGCAAAAATGTTAAGAAAACAAATAGGACCGAGTCAACTACTTTTTTATCTCACGTATCGGGTCATAGGGTGCTGACCGAGTCTCATGTTTTTATTGCACATATCAAACACACTGACCCACATTGATCTGACCGAGTCATCTATTTTTATCTGACCAAACCCGGTCAGATCCAAATCAAACAGAACCTAAGCCTATTAAAAATATAGCTTTTAAAAATAAAGTCAAAAACAGCCAACAGAGTCTAATAGAAGTTGTAGATCTCATTGAGAGATTTCTGGGGATATAAAGAACGTCGAAAACGGAGCTCGTATGAAGAAGTTACATCATTTTGAAAAATCTATAAAATTGTGCGCGCGAAGTGCGTGATGCGCACTGATGACATGGCACTCTTTGGAGGCGACACATGGCAAGTCGGCTGCTCCCCTCCTCCAAGAAATGCGGTGACATGGCACCACACGGTTGCAACACGTGGCACCACAAAAAAGACAACATGTCGCGAAGTCATAGAAGAAAGGACGCGTACGAACGAGAGTCGGACACGTGGCAGGGCGACAGAGGAGCCAGCACACCAGAAGTACGCGGCAGGCCTCTGTCTAGTGTGCGGTGCGCCCCCTGAGGCATATATATATATATGGTCGTTTTCCTTCTCATTTCCTACACACCAATCCTCTAATTCTCTCTCAAACGTTCTCCCTTCCTAAGATCCGACTTTTTCGGGTTTCTAAGTATTTTAGAGAGTCTCTGCAAGGTTTAGGAGTCTGGATAATAGATGCTTTTAGTTTCGAGATTCTGTCTATGTGTTTTTCCCAGTTTCTGCTAAAACCTTTGTAAGTTAAGCTACACTCTTTTGCTTTCAGTGTAACTTATATTAATGGTAATAAGTCGTTATTATGAACCTATAAATAAGATTTATCAGTAATTTCAATTCGTTATACTGATTGATCTACTTACGGGAGAGGTGTCTAGAATGGTCATGTTGGCTTGGTTGTTGGATTTCAGAAAAGCTATTATGCCGAAATAATCCTGCCTCCCAACTGTAATGCCTAGCTGATCCTTACTTGATAGATCTTGATGTATACAGTGAGATTAGTGAGGATCTAGACTATTATTTGTCTCCAGGATCATTAGACTAAAACTTTGTATTAATATTACTTAGGTCACGTCAAGAAATATTTGAGGTGTTAGGCGAAGCTCTGCCCAGATCACTAGTCACCCATCTTAGTCAAGTGAGCGCATAGTATGTTTCATGAACATGATTTAATACAAGTATTAATTAAAATATTAATATATGTTGGAAGTCGTATGTGAATTATGTGCTTATTTCCTGGATTATATGTTAGGATATATATATATATATATATATATATATATATATATATATATATATATATAATATATATATATATATATATGTGTGTGTGTGTGTGTGTGTGTGTGTGTGTATGTATACACACACACATAGCGTGCTATGTGCGAACCAGATATGGTTCTATTTTATGTTAGGATAAACAGATGATATTATAATACACTACAAGAAAAATACCCTTTAATGACGCGTGAACAATGACACTCGCTGATTTACGATATGCATTTTTGTGTGTCCCTAAAAATAATGTCAGCCTTCCAAAATTTGAAGGATATAGGACACGCATTTTTGCGTGTCTTAAAATTAATGTCCAACAAAAAAAATACAAACATGTAGGGTACTTGTTTTAAATGTGTGTCCTCTAGAAATGCCGCTTTATATTTTTTTTATCAAACACGCGTTTTTAAAGGGCAAAAATTTTGAAGTGCCCGCTTCTTTGATCTCTCCTCTGTATCTCCCTTCATTCACACCTAGGGCTTTTTCAAGAAAATTCAAAACGCTCTTCGATTCTCGATCGGTTCTCCCAAGCCTCTGCAACAATCGAAACTAGTTTGATTTCTACCCTAAAACCTGGTACGACTTCTCCTAATCCTTTCTCCCAGGCCTCTTCGTAAATGTTTTTAATTTTCTTTGAATTATTGACATTATTGGTTTTTGTGTAATCTGAATGCTGAAGTTTCATGTTCGAGTGTTGAATTTCGTATTTTAGGTATACGATACTGACAATGCCAAACAGAAGGAGAAGTTTGAGGCCGACTTGAAGAAGGAGATTAAGAAACTTCAGAGGTACAAAAAAAACCCTTTCTCTCTCTAAAATTCTCTCTGATCGGCGGTGCGTTTTTTGCTTGATTCGTCGTTGTTGCTTCTCCGATGAGATTTTTCGTCTCATTGCTGAAGTATCTTCTCATCATTTCCGTTGTTGCGATGGGAGCTTCTTCTAAGCAGGATCGATTGAAGGATGTAAAGGTTAAGCCTCCTGATAAAGGAGCGGTGGGTCGATTTGTGCGAACTGAGGTCGATTTAAGCGATGTTATTCCTCCTGGGGTTGTCGATCAGTCTTCGTCTACTATCTACCGTGCCCGACGAAAGCCAAGTGCTACTGGAGCTATTGTGTCGAGAATTGGGAAAGCAGAGTGGAAATTGGAGGGTTTGCATAAAGCTAGGAAACCTAATCGGGGCGATTCTCTTCTCAGAACTCCTATGGATGCTGAGGATTACTATGTGGATGATGTTACAGAAGAAGAGAGGGAGGATGTATCAGAATCTGATGGTGTGTGGGAATCCGATTCCAGTGCTTCTAGGGTTGCTGGTCAAGCTTCGATCAAGGATTCTAGTTCCAATGTTATGGATGAAGTTACCAAGGATTTGCCTCCGATCATTCATGAGGATTCTATTCCTTCAGGTAACACTGCAAACTTATTAAAGAATTGGGAAATTCCTAAGGATACAGTTGTGATTTCTAGCCCTAATTTTGATTTGAATCAAGTGAAGAGTCATATGAATAATGTTAGTTTATGGGAATGATGATTCTATCTGTTTGGCTGTTATAAATGGGAAAAATGTTGCTGTCAAGAGTGATATTCAAGATGTGATTGATAAAGATGGTGAGGGGTACACTATGGTCACGAAAAAAGCTAGAAATGCAGGGACCGCTACTGTGAAGGGGTATAGTAGAGGTGATATTCAGCCCCAATGTTTCTGGAAGCAAAGGTAGTAATTGGAATGGAGGGAATAACAAAAGAGGAAGCTATAATAGTGGTAATAAGGGTAATAAAGGTTGGAATAACAGAAGTCATAGTGGGAATTGGAATAAGGGGACTGTTAGCCAATGGAATCATCAAAAGAACCAGGAGTTTGTTGCTGCAAATAATAAATCTTTCATTGTAAATAAGCAGGGGCATAATGGGAAAGAGAGTGTGGATTCTGGGAAAAAAGAGGAAAAAGTGAAGAAGGGAAAGGGTTTGAAGGGTAGCCAAAGGGAGAACAGTTTTGGTAATACAGTGAATTGGTTTGCTGAAAGATTCTACAGGTCCATGGTTTTGTGAGTTATGTGAAGATTCATCGTCTTCTAGAAACAGGGGGTCCCATCTTTCAGTTACTCAGAGAAGGCGTCTCGTGTAGCGAAATGTTGCTTATGTGGTGGCAATACCGGTGCTTTTAGGAAGTCAACTAATGGTCAATGGGTCCATGCCTTCTGTGCTGAGGTAATATTCTTTGATTGTGATTCTTACTTATGAGGTAATATATTATTATTATTATTATTATTTACCATAACATTAATCACTGTCAACCTTCTTGTTTTTCTGTTTCTAGTTTTTATCAAATATGATACTAGTTTCTAGGGCTGAGCATGGGTCGGTTTGGGTCGGTTTTGACTCAAAACCGAACCCAAAACCGATGGTATCGGTTTTCAAATATTTAAAACCGAACCCTAAACCCAAACCGATGGGTCGGTTTCATGGTTTTTCGGTTTTTTCAAACACGCTTTCGGTTTTAAACCCAAAACCCGTTCGAAATTTCACTTGTGGGATTTGGTTGTTTGTATTGCTTTATATAAGAGGAGAATAGGAAGAATGTTTCATCCTGTGTCGATGTGGGATAAAGATTCGCTATAACAAATAGAAGAAATAAAGGGGTAAACAAAATAAAAGCTCCACACGTCAAGAGAAAGGATCAAACCCGAGTCTTTTACATTATATGTCTACCTCCTTCGCCAACACACCAGCCATCTGTTTGTGTTTACAAGTCAAGGAAAACATATATATACATATATAAATCGCAAAATTCATATTTTAATAAAGATCGGTTCGGTTCGGTTTCTCTCGGTTTCGCACATTCCTAAAACCCAAACCGAACCGAATTTTTCGGTTTCTAAATAATACAAACCCAAACCGTCGGTTTATGCTTCGGTTTCGGTTTTTCGGTTTCAGTTTCGTCGGTTTTTCAGTTTCCGGGTTCGGTTTTGCTCACCCCTACTAGTTTCTTACAATACTTTATTTGTTGTTTATTCTAGGCCGAGACTCAAAAACATGGAGTTGAAGAATGGAATTCTCTGAAGAAAGTCAGGGTAAGTTATATTGTTGTTTATAAAAACATTATTTGAATCCAAAATCATAATTTTTTTTTCTTAAAATCGTCATGCAGGTTGAATTGGAGAGATTACGCCTCATCTGTGAAAGAATTATCAAACGTGAGAAATTGAAGGTAAGCCACATATTTGATTATACATACATACATAGACTAACCGTTGGGATTTTGTTGATGATTATAGCGTGAATTGGTGATTTGTTCACATGATATGCTTTTTATGTGTTTACTTTTCAGGTAATGATTAAAATTTGGGTGAATGGTGTTGAAGGCCAAAAAATAGAGGGTCAAAGTGCAACATTTAGTGCAAAAATTGCAGAAACAGTGGATGGAGGTGCTAAATAGTCTGTTGTAGTACCAAATCCCTCAAATTGCTGTTCCAATCTGTCCTCACAGGTCTAATCCTCTATCTCTATTGGCTGCAGTTTGTATGTATATCTTTTTGGGCTCCTTGTAGTTTTAACATATGCTTTTTAAGAGGTCCAGTGTGATAGGAACGTGAATCCAATAACAGATAAATGAAACTAATATATGAGGTATATAGATCTAGGTAGCTATTTGATTACTAAATGGAAATAAGAACAAATCAGAAAGGAAATCCAAATGATTGTCCTCCTGCCCTAATCAGAGAAGTTCTTCAAGAGAAACCTCCTGCCCAAGCTAAAGCCGATACTCAAAGCTACAAAATATTGAATACCTCACTACTCTATTTATGCTATTCTTGAGATAATTCTAGATAGGGTGCAAAATAGATAATAATAGATGTTACAATTAAGTCCCCCATGTTTACCCATATATTTATATAAGACCCATAGCACATTCTCTATCAATACCATCGTCTTGAAGAAGAGGCTTGTCCTCAAGCCGGGAGTTAGGAAATTGACTTTTTGTTTGAAAGGTACTTTTGCTACTTTGATTGGACATTGTTGCCATGGAATCAGCCATTGCTTCCTTTGTTTTACCTTGTTGTCAACACAACTAGTTTCCTCTCTTTCATTGGATTCAATCAACACAACTTCTTTCATTAATGGTTGTCCAAAAGATGATAGCTTTCTGCACTTTATAGCAACCTTTAAGGTATAATAGATGAAAAGCTTGAGCATAGCTCGATATTCTTCCACTTCTTTCTTATTTTTGCCAAAAGTTATAATCTTCTCTTTGGTGGTGTTCATGTCCCAGGATTCTTTATCCTTAAGAAAAGAGACAAGCTCGATTTCATATGTACCAGTGGCATTAGGCGGCAATACTGCTCATTCTTGCTTGAAACCGATAAAACCAAAAGCATATTCTGGTGCAATACTCAGAAGAGCCACTTCACCTTTCTTCATCATCATCACAACTTTTTCAAGCCTATCAACTTCCTGCTCTTTATCTACCAACTTAAATTAAAAAACAACCCTTCATTTGGGAGCTGAAATCCCGCCCCTTCTTCCAAGCTTTTCTGGAGGACTTTCTTGTCATCTGTAATATCTGTAGGGACCCTCCATGATATTATTTGTAGTCTAGCATTTGTAGGGATGGAACCTTCATTACCAGATGCGGTTTTTCCCTTCTCTCCAATTCCATATTTTAGTATGACTGTAGGGATGACCTTGTCCCCCTTCAATCTGGTGTTTAATTTCCGTTTAGCAATATCTATCTTATCTTTATAGAAGAATTTCATAGCTTCTCGCAACAATAAGATCTTCTGATGGGTCCAACGGTTGGCTTCAAGGTATCCATAAGCTTTGGTTGTATCATCCTTCATGAAAACAAGATTTGAATAACCAGTAACACATGCCCATTTGTTCAAACAATCCAAATATAATAGTGTCTCAACCATTTTGAGGGATTGATTGCATCGATTTTCAGAGAGAATTCCATGAATTCTGTTGTTCAAACCAGAGTTTTCAATACTACTGGTAGCCAATTCTTGGTATATATCTGATGCTTTTATCTTACACGTGGATTTATAAAATTGGGTTAAGCGATCAATAGACCGCAGGGAGATTGCAGGTACAAGTAATTCGTCTTTTAAATTCACGGTGAGACAAGAGTCCTCATCGTGAAGATCATAGTGCTGTGTTTTGGTTTCCGACGCAGAATTAGAAGTCATAGATTTCAACAAAGTTGAATAATCAGTGGCAGTGAGTAATCATTTCTAACATAAGTTGATTTGACCATTACTTGAGAAACTTAAGGTTTTTCTGAAAAGACTAGTCTTTTTTTTTAAACAAGATATTTGATTATAATGATTTATACCATTGGTGGAGCAGTTAAATGGGTATACCGTGTTGGCCCCGCGTGGTGATTGTGACTACCTGGTCAAAGCAAAAGTGGCACAAGCGGGAGGTGTCGCAGGCCTTGTGGTCATAAGTGATACTCAAGGTTGTACATATATATATCATATAAATTAATAATATGATGGAGGTCCATTGAATATGTAAATTTGTGTTGCAGATATTGTGGAGATGAGTTGCTCTCAAAAAAAGTGGGTTGGACATAAATATTCATGTTGGTATGATCTCGAAGCTAGGAGGAGATGCTTTGAATAAATCTCTATCTGGTGGAGACAAAGGTATTGTTATTGTTATGATATCAGTATTAGTATATGTAGAAATTAACAACTAGTTGTGTTTCTGTGTAAATAATATAATATAATATAATATAATGGCAGTGGGGTTTGCACTGGTTTTGTGTCACCAGATGTTAGTTCAGAATCCGTTACAACTTCCTTAAGAGGACGATACACAAATAGCTACAAATCATGCAGTGAAACCATCATCCAAAGATCCGATGACATCACAATCGACAGCACCACCACAGACGCCGATTGATGAATTGGAAGACGCTTTATCTTTACCATGCATTTCCCAAAATCAAAATTCACCCTCTACTGAGTCAAGTTGTGACTCAGAAAAAACTAAGCTCATAAACATGTCTCCAATTGATGAATTGGAAGGAGAACTGGTTTACTATCAGCATCACCTACTTTGCAATGCAGTTTCAAGAAAACACCTAAGTGGTCTCTTTCTTTATCCTCTTTTGCATTTAGGGATTTTACATCTTCATCTTGTAGTGCCAAATTCGTTAACTTTGTGATGTTTTTTTTATTGTGTAGATGATTTGATTTCAAAGGTGATCAAGGTTCTTCCAGAAGAGATTGAGACACTAAGAAAATGAAATTGGGATGCTGTGTTGGTGAGCCAATATCTTTCTGAGCTTAGAGAAGTCAAGAAACAGGGGAGAAAAGAGAGAAGGCACAAGGAAGCCCAGGCTGTGCTTGCAGCTGCAACTGTTGCTGCTGCAGCTTCTTCCAGGCTTTCATCTTTCAGGTAAGATACACTTGAAGAATGCGCTCACCATGAGGTAGTTGACTCTCATTTTGTTAAATAATAGTAGAGTTAAATGCAAGAAGTATTGATGTACTTTCATTGATTTGTTGTCTTCATGAAATGATTCTTATATTGTGTTTAGAATAAGTTGAAGATAAAAGCTTTTGGAGGAAGATCTGCATTTCATGCACAACCAAAAGAAACGCACCCAAAATTGTCTGTAACGTTGACCCCACCTGAAATGAACATTGATTCTTCACCATCAAGTTTAGATTACAAAGGGCATTCTAGGGTTTGTGACGTTTGTAGACGGGAGGAAACAGTTTTGAATCCAGTTATTATATGTTCTAGTTGCAAGGGTAGCTTAACCTTAAATACCGGAAATGAATAATTTTAATCTTTTTTCTATATTTCCCTTTTTATCCTCCTAACTGTATTTAAATATTTTATCTGGTAACAGGTTGCAGTTCACATAGATTGTTATCGTAGTGTGAAAGATTCTATGGGTCCATGGTTTTGTGAGTTATGTGAAGATTCATCGTCTTCTAGAAGCAGGGGGGACCCATCTTTCAGTTACTCAGAGAAGCTGTCTCGTGTGGCGGAATGTTGCTTATGTAGTGGCACTACTGGTGCTTTTAGGAAGTCAACTGATGGTCAATGGATCCATGCCTTCTGTGCTGAGGTAATATTCTTTGATTATGATTCTTACTTGTGTTCCTCTTCTATTATGGTGGTTAATATATAGATTTTTTTTTCTAATTTTGTGGTGTAGTGGGTTCTGGAATCAACATTCAGAAGGGGGCAGCTGAAACCCATTCAGGGCATGGTATGTCTAGTGTATAATAAATGTTTATTTAGAGGAAACTAGTGCACTTTTGAAGTAAATAAAGGTTCTGCTGGATATGACTAGTTTAATGCAAGAAATAGCAACATAAAAATTGGGTTAACATTCCAAAGAAAAATGTCTTAATAGGAAAAAGTTTGAAAGTAAAATGCTGCAATAGGAAGAAACAAAAGCAGATTGCTAAGATGCACAAATAAATGAAAGTATTTTGCATTTAGTCCCTAGATATTATAATTTGTGTTGTCGTATGTTCATGTCATGTGACAATGCCAGGAGACAATCTCCAGAGGGAACGATGTTTGCCTTGTTTGCAGCCGCAAAGTTGGCGCCTGTATAAAGGTTGGTGAGATTAATACGAGTTTTTTCTATCTCATTTTTTCTTTTTTCTTTTTTATTCAACTTTATTTTTAATTATTAATTGTATCCTATAGTGCAATTATGGTCACTGTCAAAGCACATTTCATCCTACTTGTGGCAAAAGTGTTGGCTTCTTCATGAACGTGAGAACTAGTGGGGGAAAAATACAACACAAGGCTTACTGTGAGAAGCACAGCCAGGTGGAGAGAACAAAGGTAATACTATATTATTATTATTAATATTTACCATAATATCAATCAATGTCGACCTTCTTGTTATTCTGTTTCTTTTTTTTATACTAGTTTCTAAGTATAACTTATTTGTTGTTTATTCTAGGCCGAGACTCAAAAACATGGAATTGAAGAATGGAATTCCCTCAAGAAAGTCAGGGTAAGTTACACTGCTGTTTATAAAATACATTATTTGAATCCAAAATCATGATTTAAAAAAAATCGTCTCGCAGGTTGAATTGGAGAGATTACGTCTCATCTGTGAAAGAATCATCAGACGTGAGAAATTGAAGGTAAAGCCACATTGTTTACTCAGCTGTCACCATTACGTTTGGCCCAAAGTGAGTAAGCTTCAACAAATATTAATTCTTTTTTTTTTTGTTTTATATTTGGGACAATGTTATTAAATATTATTTGTATCTTTGTATTCCCATGTTCTTAGGTCCAAATCATGGTTAAGGGGGTACTACTGCATGGAAGATGTGTGGACTTGACAAATCGACTTCCTTATGCTTAATATTTGATATTGTGAAGAAGGAAAGCTTAGATGTTATTGGTCAAGGGGGTACTACTGCATGGAAAATAGGTATCATGTGGAAA